AAAGGAAGGTTTTTGTTTTGTATTATTTTATATTATAAGAAAGATACCTTTTCTAGTTCTTTATCTTGTTTAAAAGAATCTTTACCCTATTTTAAATACCTAGTACCTTAAAAAAAAAAAATCTAATTAGTGTTTGGAAACTATGCAATAGACTTTCTTTGGATTGTGTACTTGAGGTCCTGTCAGCATCACTCTCTTGGGATGTGGCTGTGGCTCTGAATGTGAGCAGCACATGTGTGCCATCTCTCTGAGGAAGAAGCTGATGTGCAAAGCAAACCCCCCTCCCCTTTTAAAATTTGACCCGTGTAGTTTGTAGATGGCAAAAATGATAGTGGAATTGAAATCACATAAAGAATGCGGAGCCCTCAAAGAAGTTGACTTGATGAAAAAGGAAATCTAGAGAAGGAGTTCAGGGAAACACCTCCAGTAGGCTACTCTCCACCCGCTAGGACTGTTATGACCATGTTCTGTGCCATCACAAGAGTTAAATTGGCCACGTTTCTTTGTTTTGCAAGTTATGTAAAATGCCATAAATTATGTATATGTTAACAGAGTACTTTAACAAGAGATCTATATCCAGAGTTGTTTTGTATATTTAAATGCTTAGCTTTATTTTTTGTAAAGTGCAGCATACTTCCTCATTTGTGTATGATCTTATTGATCAGGTGTTTAAAATTATTTCAAATACATCATTAAAATAATTATTTTATGATAAGAACATCTTTGCTTAGTTCCTGACTTTGAAGGCCAGTTTTCATTAGTAACCAATCCTAGAAGGGTACAGATCTGCCAGGTAGTGGCTCTTATTTTGGAGTGTGGGCATTTGGTTCTAGGACCTTCCTTCAGATCCAAGTTGCTGTATCACTCTCTTTGGAATAGTTGCAGATTTGCATGCTATTTGACTCACCAAGAAAGCTAAGCACATTCATTATGGAAGCTTTTCTTGGGCCATCAAGGTTTTCTTATTGAAATATTTTTCAAAATGTATTATATATGTGTCATGTCTTACATAGAGAACAAATGGGTATCCAAGATGTTCTTGTGCACAGTTGGCAAAATGGAGGTCTTGGGTAGATTTAATCTACAGAAGCATTCTCTTTGGCACATGATTAATATTAATGATTTTTTTTTTAATTCACAGAAATCTTTCAGTTTATCTAAAAATCCAACAGATTGGAGTCACTAGTACACCTTTGGTAACAGCACACTAGAGCCAGCACGAGGCTGTCCAGTTCAGTATGTGGCAGAAGTAGCTTCTCTGTCTGATTCCTTAAGTGCTACTGTTTGTGGCCCCTTGCCTTCAGTATTTACCATGGCTGCTATTGACTTTTTTTTAAAAAAGCAACCTTATTCAGATAAAATAACCCATTTTGCCCATTGTTGTCCAGTATTTCAAACCTGGGGCCCTCAAGTTAAGCAGGCACTCTCCGCTGAGCTAGAACCCAGCCCTTATCCATTTATTTTTAATGCAACTTAAAGGTTCTTATGCAAATCTTTAAGGGCTCCCTTTTATTTTTGTTGATCGTATACATGTGGTATATGTGTGTGTGGTGTTTGTGCATGTATATGTGTGGATGTGGAAGTCAGAGGAGGATATCAGGTGTCCCTATCACTCCATCCTATTACTGTGAAACAGGCTCTCTCACTGAACCCAGGGCTAGGCTGGCAGCCAGTAAGCCTACTACAGTGCAGTGGTTATAGATGCATGTGTAGCCATATCTGTGGGTACTAGGGATCTAACTCGGGTTCTCACTCTGACATAGCAAGAGGGCATATCAGGTGTATGGAGGTCAGAGGACAACTGGCAGGAGTTGGTTCTCTACCATGTGGGTCCTGAAGCTCAAACTCAGGTCATCAGGCTTGGCAGCAAGTACCCTGACCTGTTGAGCCATCTTGCTGACCCAAGAAGCATTTTCTACTTTTAAAGTCTATAGCTCTTCTTTTAATTTTTAAAATATTTTATTATTTTTTTATGTGTATGGGGTATTGTCTGCATCTGTGTAAGTGCACCTGTGGCATGCAAATGCCCATGGAAGTCAGAAGAGGTTGTTAGCTGCCATGTGGGTGCTGGATCAAACCTGGGTTCTCTACAAGATCAGTCGGTGCTCCTAACTGCTGAGCCATCTCTCCAGCCCCAAGTCTACAGCTCTTAAAACCTGCATATGAAGTAAGTTTTTCATTAGAAGTTTGACAAATTTATTTAGAACTAAGATTATTCTAGTTATATCATGATTGCAACAGAGAATACAGCAGTTTACCATTAATGCATAAGTCTTAGAAAAAATAACAAGACCAAGCACGTGCTGAATAGATTGGACTTCTATCTCTGCCTGTTGTGGAATGAACCAGGTAAGTGTGTATAAAACTTCCCTCAACAAGATCCAATTATTCTGTAGGACAAAAAGTATATTGTATATGTTTGTTTACATGCAGTCTCCTACAAATTTTAGCATAGTAGTTAGTTTTACTTTGTTTTCAGCATTCCTGTTGTGATGGTTAATCTCAAATCACCTGAAGTTGGACCTTTAGGCAGCCTGAGAGGGATTATCGTAGTTAGGTTAACTGAGGTGAGAAGACTTGCCCACTCTGAGTGGTACCATTCTCTGTGCTGGGATCCTGGATTGTATAAAATGGAAAAACTGAGCTGAGCACAAGCATTTGTTTCTTTCTGCTTTCTGACTGATGGTGCAGTGTGACCAGCTCCTGCCACCATGACTTGCCCACGATAACGCACTGTGAACTATGAGCCAAAATAAACGTTTCCATCTTTATGTTGCTTTTGTTGGATATTTTATTGAAGCAACAGAAAAGTAAGACACTTGACCTTTCAGATACTTTCATATTCTTCTCTAAACTGGTAAGTTTTTTTTAACTTATGGGCATTATTGCAGCTGGTACCAGGGTCTTTTCTTCTGACCTTTTCAACTCCTTTGCAGTTTTCATGTGTAGTTCAGTTGCAGTGTGTGCTACGTTAGCCTTCACTGGAGTTGTTTTGCCAGTTAGAAATTGGTCCTCAGGATATTTTTCTTTAGTGAAACACGAGAAACTGCTATGCAAACAAGAAACTTGAGGTGTTCATCACCACATTACCTAAATGCTTACTGACTAGGTAAGAGAAAGGGATAGATAGTAATCAATCAGGTCAAGGTCTGTGTAGACTGTGCAGGGTTGGATATTCAGAAAAAAATGCTCCCAAAGAACTCATTTTAATGTTTAGTCTGTTGGTAAATGGCAATAAGTGCAGTTGTCATAGCAACTCTTTAGAAGAAAATGGTCATAGGTGGTTTAGGTGCTACTGAGGCAGTGTGCCCTGTGGAACAGCATACTCTGTTCCTCTACTCAGTCCTGCCTCTTCCTCTCCTTAGGCAAATTATTTAACTTTTTATTTGTGCTTCCTCATCTTTAAATAATAGTACCTGGCCTGTAAGTTGGCTATGAGAATTTAATAGGTGGTTATATGTAAACCACAAAGAATGGGTGTCACATGTAATAAACTCTTTACAGCAGTAATGGTTATTAGTAATAGGAAGATTTTGAATGACACAGCTTGACTTCTTGCTGAGCAGTACTTTATTATACTGGTGAAGATCACTGGCTAAATGCAAACTTGACCATACTAGTTAAATAAAATCCAAGGTTTGCAAATTCCTGTGTGGTATTGGAGCTGGTGGGACAGGAAGCTACAAGGAGAAAGGCATGACCATTACAGAGAGTGTTTAACAGGTTTTGTTCTGTGTATCTGTGTGCACATGTGTGTTTTGTTTTCAGTGCTATGGCTTGAACTCAGGGCCCTGCTGTACTAAGATGAATTCTACTGAGCTACATCCTGTCGTGATTTTTCTTGTTACTGTGACATGGTTCATGGCAAGTGGTGACCTCAGAGAGGAAGTAGTTTAAGAGCCTGAGTTGATTGAGGAAGGGAAGGAATAGCAACAGGAATGCAAGGTGGATGATGGCATCATGTCTGCAGTCAACAAATGAATGAACGCTGCTCTCCTACATCCAGGGTGGTCTTTTCCACTCAGTTTCTTTCTGAAAACCGCATTTCCCTGGTGATTCTAAATCTAGCTAAGTCCACAAGATTAACTGTCACAATCCTTATCCCACATTCATGACTTTGTCCCCTTTTTACTGTAGGATTGGAAGCAGTAACTGCCGTAATTGAAAACATCATAGAAATATATGGAAAACACTGAAATAGTATAAAATGGCATACCAAAATGATACTCTTATGTGGGTGCTAGGAATCAAACCTGGGTCCTCTGTAGGAGGAACAGTGCTCATAACTGCTGAGCCATCTCTCCAGTCCTTGTTTATTAGGTTCATATATGTCACTTCCTGCAGTCCATACATACATGTACAGGTGTTGTTTTTTTTTTTTTCCTATCCTCAGCTATTTTTGCACTCTTATCCTTAATTCCACTTAGCCTTTTTTTTGCCCCCTTCCAGACCAGGTATGCTTGTAGAATCTTGCTATATAATCTTTGGAAAAAGAACACATTTTTCTCTTGATGTATTTAGTCATGGCTTTGTTTACTGTTCTGCTAGAAAATCCCACCAGAATGTGTCAACTGGTTCCTCCTTTCCTCTACCAAAGAGGCATTAGAATAGCACCGGGGAAGAGGAGGAACCCTGGGGAGGTGGTGGACAGTGGGGAAGAACAAATCATCTGGGAAGGACCAAGTATTCCAGTGGTAACTTATTCCAGTGGTAACTTTAAAGCCTCACTAACAGCAACCTCCCACCATGAGCAAGTCTAAATTCAAGATCACTTCAGCCTCTTCTCTGTGAGATTTATATTCTTCATTTAAAAAAACAAGCAGCTCAGAATAGCAATACTCTGAATTTAACATTCATTCCTAGGCATGATTAGTGATGGGCTTGTCTTGGTACCTCAAACAGTCAAAC